ATTCCTGCTTAATGTACTTTGGTTCACACAGTGAAACAGGCCACGAACTGGACCTCTTGAACTCATACAGCACATTAACTGGATTTCTTTTGTATAAAGTGAAACCAGAAGATGAGCTCCAGATACACGCTCTCCAGCCAACTGCTATTGGGCATTCAGGCTTAACCCGTGTTTACACAGTGAAGCATAGTGGCAGAGCCTTCAGCGCTTAGGGTTGTTCTAGCATTGCATTAGTTAATCAATGGCTAATTTTTTTTTAAAATACTTACTCTTTATGTTTCAGCAGTGCTCTTTGTTGCAGACTCCTCCCTAATTGGCCGCCTTCTTTTGAAGAACTCACTATAATGGAAGAAAAAAAAAAAAAAAGAAAAATCTTTTCAGTATTATACCATGAGTAGACAGGTACAGTACAATAAGCTAGGAATAAAAAACAGGGACAAAATGATGAACAGAGATACTTTAAATCATGAACTCCTTAAGTCGACCTAGTCTTGGGACAGATACTACACAAGACAGATACATTTACGACCAAATGCTAGAAGTGTGACAGCAGGTAAATCTCCATGAGCCTCGGGTCTCTTTGGAATTCCATTCTTGCTTAGTGAAATTATTAGTATCCCTGCAAATATTAACATTAGTGCTTAACTCAAAGTATTCTTGCATCATGGCTGGAAAACCAAGCTTGCTGTAAAGTGTGTGTTAATGGAAGGATTCAACACTTTTTTCTTCCAGAAATGGATTTTTTACTTCTTTTTCATATTTGATGTTATCTCTGTCAACAGGTCTGTTAAGACAAAGTTGAATGTACCTCTGCTGTATAATTTTGTATCACAACACATTGCATGCTGTTTCTTTTCCTCATTACTTTGCTTCCCCTTCCCTCTCTCTATTACTGTCCATGAATAATACGTTTCCTTACATGGATACCTCACACTTTCAGCCCAACACAGCTAACTCAAGACTGCGCACTGCTGCCTTTTGCAAATTTGCTGTTCTGTCTTTCCACTCCTGCACTCAATCCCCAGCAAATATTTGAGAGTGCTGGCTCCAGTATAGGGCCTGAATTAATAAACCCACCACATTGTGCATTGTACTTACTACAGGCCCAATTTAGAGTTGCTAAGCTAACTGGAAACCAGCATTATAAATATCTGTGGTTACTTATCTGTTATGGGACTCCTCTGTGTCATGTGGGGAGATTCCTTGTTTCAAAATTAAATGACCACAATTAATCTCATCCTGAAGTACATCATGAAAGCAGGTCAAACAGACAGCATTGTCAATGTACCTATTTCCTTCCCACAACTCTATAAAGAGCACACATTGAACAACTCAGGAACAGAAATAAGTTGAGTTCTAACCCATGTGAATGGTTTGTAAATAAGCTTTTTTTAAGGTACTATGCAGTATTTGTTTGTTTATGCTGTCTACTTGTTGGGTGGAAGTATTTCATAAGAGTACTAAAATTTTCATTTATTATTTTCTCCTACAAATGGACCATATTCTCCTACTCCTTCTGCTGTGCTCCATGATTACAGCAGTCTAAGGTCCTGAAAACGGGAAGCATCCAATATAAAACAGGACATAATCATTGACACTGCAAGATTAATTTGCCCCTAAGTTATTTATTGGGTGATAAATCCTTAGCAGAATCAGGTAACTTTACCAGGTAATTAATACAGTATGTAAAAGTAAAAAACAGCTGCATAAAGCAGCTTTATCATACATTCATTAGTTGAAAGAGTAAACCATTTGATCTCAAGACATTAAAGCCTGATATTTTTTTCAGTTTATAACCTATAACTCTATACCAAAATGTAGATAGAAATGCCCTACATTTTCCAGCAATTATTCTATTCATTTCCAAGAAGGGGAGGAGGAATATTTTGAGAAGCTTCAATGAAAAGAAAAAAAGGCTAAGCAAACACAGTATACAAATTTTCTCACCTTCCATTGGAGTTGTCTCTTCACTTGTATGCTCTGTGCTGAAGACTTGAATAAGCTCAGCAAAATTAGCTCTCTTTGAAATGAGTTCTTGGTAGGTCCCCATTTGACTTATTCTGCCCTCTTCCATTACTATTATAAGATCAGTGTGAGGCAGGAGTGTTAGGTTATTGGTCACCAATATACGAGTCTGAAACACAATGTTTTCCATTTTACCATACAAATACAAAGCGTATATAAAATGTGGTCATTATATTATGATAGCTGGCATGACATAATGGCATTTTTTCTGGGATTTTGCTCATTTATTTGTCTATTATTATTATAGTTTGTATAGTTAATATTTGTATATTATTATTATGTCTGTTATTTATTGCCTACTTTACTACATTACTCTCTTAATTGCTGATTGTAATGTCAAACTTTATGCTTATAGCTACTTGCTATTACTTTACTTACCTGTTTCTTAATGTGTGTCTTCTGCTCATGAATGGTTTAGATTAGGTTGTAAAGAAAAGAGGTACATACTACAGCTGTTAATACACTACATGTAGTCTGGCAGTCTCAATACTAAAAATTGCTTACAATTCTACCATTACTAGAGTTCTTGCTTCTGCCAGATACTTGTAACCCAGGGAGCAGGTAAATTAAGAAAAGGGAGAAGGGAGAGAGGGAAAGTAAAAGACATTTACTTCATAATAAGTAATGTATTCATAATAGTAAGTATTTCATAGTAATACATGTTTTGCAGGCATCAACCAGCAGTAATAATCTGTACTAATTCATAACACTGAGAAGAGATTTTTTACAAACTATCTTACCTTCCCACATGAACAGTTTTTAAGTGGAAGAATCTATTCCTTCTGATTCCACATTCCCCTAGGAATTTCTTTGTTCAACTAGAACCTATAATAGCTATAACCTGTTTGCTGCAGTGAGGCATCAACAGTGACCACAAAGGGCTCCACCTTGCCTTCTACATGCAGATCGCAGCACTTCTCAAAAACTTCCAGAAAAGAAGAAATGAGCAAGCACTACATGAATCTTTCAGACTCCCAGGTCAGGCTAGCTCTTAATCTTTTTTTTTTTTTTTTTGGGTCTGTGGTATGTCTACCCAATAGGCTTCAAATTGGCACAGTCAGCTGTGCTTTTTATTTAGCTTCTTTATTGAGAATAATTTTCATCAACACATTAGGTAAGAGATGAGCTTTTGCAGAATGACTGGGACTTTTGCTGTGTGTGTTGTATTGTACAAAGCAGTTCACCCCAAATTGAAAGGAAGCCATCTTACTTTACCTTGCTTTTCAAGAGACCTGAAGAGCCAATTAGCTTCTCAAAAAGATGTTTCCCAACATGTACATCTACAGCAGACAGGGGGTCATCCAGAAGATACAAGTCAGCATTGCTGTACACAGCTCTAGCGAGACTCACTCTCTGCTTCTGCCCTCCACTTATATTGACACCCTAAGGAATAAAGCCAAAATAATCCACATTTAAAGACAAAATACTAAAGAAGACCAGTGTATCACGCTTAGTCTCATCATTTTTTTCAGGTAATCAAAATAAATTTTATACTAGTTATGAAAATAGAAAGGTAACATTTGGATTTTGAAGTAATTAGAGCAAAGTTTGGGCTCTGTTGATTAAATCTCAACTCCAAAATGGGCAAATGAAAGGTACTTTGGAAAGTTAAAAAATAACTTTTATTTACAGTCCTACAGGCATTTTTACAGTATAGAGGAAATCCCTGGAGAGCAGGACAGGGCTGACTCAAACTTCTGTAGAGAAAAGAGCCATTTTAAAAATTAATAAGAGTTCAGAGCTTGAACAGAAGTTAAGTTCAAAGTAAGTAAGCTAAGTAAGGAGATGGGATAGATGTACTTGACTGAGCACTAATTAGTCATCACTGTAAATTATCAAATAGATAATATATAAAAACATAAAAGCCATAACTCATTGCATCATTTCTGACACCTTAAATTCTCACCCTTTCTCCAATCTCTGTTTGGTCTCCATTCGGTAACTGTTCCAAATCTGGCAGTAAAGCACAAGACTCTAAAACAAGTTCGTAGTATGGCCTATTTAGATTTGAACCAAAGAGAATATTTTCCTGTAAACTGTCATTTTGAATCCAAGCCTGCTGAGAAACATATGCCACTGAACCCTAAAAAGAATTGGAAACAATTTTTTTTTTACTTGGGCTTTCTGAACATGAAAAACAACATTTAAAAATACATTTGAAATTCCACCTTTACCTCAAAGTAACCAGTAATTACTTCCAAAACTTGAGCATTATTAAGCTGTTAAAATTTTGACTAAGTCAGGCAATAAAAACAGTCTGTTGAATATTCCTGTTCCTGTATAAGAGCTTGCCTATAATTATTATAAGAGCACATACTCAGAATAAAACTGTCAGACTTAGGACATACATTGAACAAAGTCTTTCAGAGAAAGATCTCAGTGACAAACAGGCATCCATTGTAAGATTTATATGCAGCAAAATGGGTCTGTATTAGGTATATATCAAAATACAGTTTGATTGTTTGTATTTTTACATAACATGCTGTGGAATGTGTCAGCCATTAGAAATTAAGGTTACAGGACAGGAATGATAACTGGAAATACTCCTAGATCTTTTCTTACATTGAGCTACAAGCCCTGTGAAAATCTATTAATTTTACAACAAATTGATAGTATAGATACACTTGATGGATATATGCATTCCTTATTAGATTCTACACAGCTGATTTTTTCCCATTAATTACTACTCCTGGATTCGGAACACCTCAACTTCATATTCTTCCCCATCCCCCAACAGTGACAGGATACTGTACTAGATTTCCACAGGAGTGGATTCTTGTTCAACACTTATTTTCAAGGCCGAAACACTTTTTTAATGCTGCCACATCCACTTGCAACCAGATTAACTGATATGATGCTTATCCATTGATATTTATTGGCTCAAGCACAGTAGTCTGTCATCAGAGGATAACTTCCTCTGTATCTATAGCTTATAAAAAACTTCCCTAAACTCTATTCTGTGATGGGGACTTTCATTGCTTTATGTAACTACAAGACAAGTTAAGCTGCAGGGTTTCCTGTCACTAGGATAGCCAGCACCTTAATTCCTTCTCTGCTTGAAGTTCAACTTTTCCCTCTGTTTCCATATCCTGTGCCTTCTCTACACATAAGCCATTCCAAGAAAGATGATCATGATCTACAACAGTTTACAACTGCTCATGTTTGTACAGCTGTTCAAAACCAGCAACCATTAGCTGTTTAGGCTCCATATATGACTGACTTACACACTCATGATTTTTGCACTGTATTATACAGATTATAAAAAAATGAAAATAGCTTTGGAATCACTTAGGTTGAAGACAAAGATAAATTGTTACACTGTTAACAAAGTGTTGCTGCGTTACTTTTCTTTGAAGATTTAAGAAGCTGGAGCTACCCTTGCCAGTATTTCTACAACAATAAATAGTTGAGGAGGAAAAACTGCACTTTCAAAAGTGCTTAATTTAGGTATTGAGGAGTTGGCAGGGCAGGGCAACACGGACAGACAATCTTACTCTTCTCTGAACTGTTCCATCAAGTTTCTCCATTTCTCCAAGAATAGCAGAAAGAAAAGATGACTTTCCAGATCCAACCTGTCCCACAACAGCAACTAAAGAGCCTTCAGGAATGCTGACATTCAAGCTGGAAATATCGAGGAAGACAAATTAGTTATCCTCTTTGTAAATACTCCATCATGTATGGGTTGTGGTCACTGTAAGAAAGAAATACTCTATTTTACCCTCAGAAGGATGAGAAATAAGTACTTCAGTTTGCACATCTTTTGACTATGTATCATTCAGAAACTTGCAATAATGACTTTAAGTATAAATTGATTTGTCCGCAAGTTAAGAGGTTGTGCTTTCATCTGGTCACAACAAAATCAAATGGGAGACAGTCTAAACAATAAGTGGTCTTATTGTATTCTTCTCAGGCCTGTGGTTCACGTTCCGTCTTACTCTGACAATCAACAGCTAGACTTCTCATGTAGCATCTACTGTAGCCAGTGTGTGATCCCTCTTAAGGAAAATAGCTGTTTGGGTAAAGAAAAGCTGCCCTTCATAATCTGCATATTTTGCTGTCAAAATAAGTACAACATGTACTCATAAATTTTAGCATTCAAGGACAGCCACTTGCTGTATCTGTACTCTATGCTATCTGGATCTGTGTTCTGATTTGAAGGCCCTATGCTAAGATAAGCATAGTTCCTTCAGACTCGAGCTTGGAGCACAAACGAGGTAGAGAAAGTCTGTACCCAGCAACTATACCAGACTTTAATGAAGTCTGTATCTGATGCTGAAGGCAGCTCATTCCTGGAAATTATATTGCAGGCTATGGTGGCTGAGATGTGGATGCTCAGTGACACGTTATGTGAAGTGACCCCCTCCAGCCTTGAGAGGAATAGGGTAGACAGTGTGGTGAGAAGGGTTAGACTGGCTGGGTTGTAACCTTTTCAGCTGCCTTAGTAAAATTTAACAGCTGTATAGAGCTTATAAAATAGGTTCTTCATTCCACTCCAGAGCTTGGTTACTCCATTTTCGTACTAACCCTCCAATCTGTTCATTGTGTAGCAGTTTAAGCACAGCTGAATTTACACCTAAGAAATACCTTGTTAAGGAACAACAAACAAAAAAAAAAGGGTGTCTTCAGGCAAGAGAGACCACTGCGAGAAAACCAAACTTTATGTTTGTTTGTTCTTTCCAAAGGAAGCCACAGCCCAATTTTAAGATCACTATTCAATGCAAGGCTGCATAAACTATTTCACCTTACTTGTAGGCAATATAAAAATCTACATGGACAAAATGGCATCTTGCCAGTTAATGCTCCCCAAAATGCAATTCGGGAAAAATTGATATTGCAGTTCAATGTCCTTTGTGCAAACTGAGGGGAGAGGTGGTAGGAAAGAAGGAATGAAGAAGAGGGAATGAAGAAAAAAATAAAAGCACTGGCTTCCTGTAGCACTTATACAATGCTATGTTGGGGAGCACGTGGTTCCTCTTGGAGCACCAGGGATACTAGGTCAGATTTGACTTTCCAGAGCACACTCATCACATGGGAACAATAATTTATGGTTTTTTTGGTATGTAACATCATGAACTAGTCTGACTCAGAATACATTAAACCTGAACAAAACGTCTACAGACATTACGTTCTGCCAAAGGAGTTCATAAAAATAAGTAAGAAATATCTTACTTTTTTAAGACTGGGGGGCCATTTTTTTCCCAGCGGAAAGAAGCACCAATAAATCCAACAGCGTAATCTGTTGCAGTAAAGAAAAAAGAGCACAGAGTTGCTAATCCATCCTCTCAGTTCAGTTTCTCAATGATCATCTATATAAATTCATGACCAATTAAAAATTAATAACTACTGCTTACTTCCACTGTAGTTTGTATTGACATCCTCAGGGTTAAGATCCTCAGCACACAGAAAATCCTCCAAACGGCTCAGAGAAACTTTGGTCTGCAAGATGAACATACATATATAATATTTATAACATGCCTGTGCTCCCTAAATTTTTAAATATTATTTTAAAAGTTCTAGATAATATGGAAAGACATATTCCTTGTCTTGTTTGAAGATAGACAAAAAGGGTGTTTAGGTATTTAAAAATTATTTTCCTTAAAGTACTAAACAATCTAAAGTCATAAATGTCTTTTTTTTTTCCTGAGGATCTATTGCTTGGCAGTTATAAAGCAACAGAGCATGATTGACATATCCAATGTTAGACAATATAGTTAATCCTTGAATGTCTGGTTCCTCTGACTCAATCAGTTTGTTTTCATAAACCTGTGCTTAGAACACTTCAGCTTTTTTTTTTTTTAAGAAATAGTGCATAGTAACTCTCTCTTCATATAATGAAGGCAACATTTTACTCTGAGTGCATCATGAGATGTCCATCACTGCTGTGACAGTATCAGATGAATTTACGCTTGTATCCTTTAAACAGCCTTCATGCTTCTCATTCCCTAAAAATACTGTGCAGTTTCACCTCAATAAAATGTAACTTAACATAATTAAATTACTTAATCACTCCTAGAAATAGATGAAACATGACAGAGTATAAACATCAGCCTTTATAGCACTTGTTCATAATATGTTTACCTGGGCTACAGCAGAGATCACAGATGGTAAATCAAACAAAGGCAGTCGCAAGATGTTAAATAAAGAAATAGATGTAAAAACTGTAGTTGCTGTTAAAACATTCTCTTTGTCCAGATGAAAGAAGACTCCAAATGTAGCCAATGAGACCTTTTAAATAAAAAATGAAAAAGATATCTGCAGAATATTATATCACATTATAACTAAAATTTATACACAGAAACTATTTTTGTTTGCATTTGAAAGGCGTAGGATCCCATTTCTGCTCATGTATAAACAGGGACTCTGTAACTGCTGCACAGGGAAATTATTGCATAGCTGCAATACTGAGTGCAGGAATATTGTAATTTTAGTGAGCAAAAACCATGGCTATTGTGTTTGACCCAACCAGATACAAATGAAACTATATGAAATAACTTTCCCACCTCAGGAATTGATTTCTTCATTTTGAAAACACTCAAACATGATGTTTCAGGAAAATAACTTTTTTTTTTCTTTCTTCTTACTATTGCTATGATATTGGACATAAAATAGAATTATTTACTGCAGGTATTTTTATTTTAACCTCTTTGAATTTTTTTCAAAAATCTTGTCAGTAATCATCAGAGAATAAGCCTTCAGAATTACCCAGAAAAGCCTAAATTTAACAACCTGTCCTACGGGGTCTGCCTTTTGTTGAGTTTAGGAGTCCTAAACCAAGCCAGGAGTCGTAAACTAATCTACTCGTAAAGTAGAAGGACTTCTAAGAAAGTGCTAAATAATAAGTTGATTATTTCACTGCATTTAATTCAAACTTCGAATTTTTCTCACTCACTGCTTCAAGTATTTCAGTTATTATCAAGGTTACAGACTGAAGCATGGCCTTAATCTTCTCTTTCACTATTCCTGAGGACTATTCCTCTTCACTTCTTAACATACTGTGAGTTAAGCGCTAGAAGATGTCAGTGTGTGTAACTGAAGTTAATGGTGGTCATTTATCCCCAACGAAGGTTCCAGTTAGATCCATAGAATCATTTAGGTTGCAAAAGACCTTTAAGATCATTAAGTCCAACCCTTAACCTAGCACTGCCAACAGTTAACACTAAACCATGTCCCCAAGTGCCACATCTACACATCTTTTAAATACCTCCAGGGATGGTGACTCAACCACTTCCCTGGGCAGCCTGTTCCAATGATTGATAACCCTTTCAGTGAAGAAATTTTTCCCAATATCCAATCTAAACCTCCCCTGGTGCAAATTTAGGCCATTTCCTCTTGTCCTATCACTTGTTACCTCTGAAAATAGACTGACACCCACCTTGCTATGATCTCTTTTCAGGTAGTTGTAAAGAGCAATAAGGTCTCCCCTCAGCCTCCTTTTCTCCAGATTAAACAACCCCACTTCCCTAAGCTGCTCCTCATAAGACTTGTGCTCTAGACCCTTCACCAGCTCCGTTGCCCTTCTTTGGACACACTCCAGCACCTCAAATGCCCTTCTTGTAGTGAGGGGCCCAAAACTGAACACCATGCTCAAGGTGTGGCCTTACTGGTGCTGAGTACAGAGGGAAAATCACTTCCCTAGAACTGCTGGCCACACTATTTCTGATACAAGCCAGGATGCTGTTGGCCGCCTTTGCCACCCAGGCACACTGCCGGCTTATATTCAGCGGGCTGTCAACCAATACCCCCAGTTCCTTTAATAAAGATATTAAAGAGAACGGGCCCCAATAGTGAGCCCTGGGGAACACCACTTGCGACCGGCTGCCAACTGGATGTAACTCCATTCACCACAACTCTTTGGGCCTGGCCATCCAGCTAGTTTTTTACCCAACAAAGAGTACGTCCATCCAAGCCACGAGCAGGCAGCTTCTCCGGGAGAATGCCGTGGGAAATGGTGTCAAAGGCTTTACTAAAGTCTAGGTAGATAACATCCACAGCCTTTCCTTCATCCACTAAGTGGGTCACCTTGTCATAGAAGGAGATCAGGTTAGTCAAGCAGGCCCTACCTTTCATAAGCCCATGCTGACTGGGCCTGATCACCTAGTTGTCCTGTATGTGCCACATGATGGCTGTCAAGATGATCTGCTCCATGACTTTCCCTGGCACCGAAGTCAGACTGACAGGCTTGTAGTTCCCTGGATCCTCCTTCTGACATTTGCTAACCTCCAGTCAATGGGTACCTGCCCAGTTAACCAGGACTGCTGATAAATGATGGAAAGTGGCTTGGTGAGGACTTCCAACAGCTCCCTCAGTACCCATAGGTGGATCCCATCCAGCCCCATAGACTTGTGTGTGTCTAAGTGGTGTAGCAGGTAAGTAACCATTTCCCCTTGGATTATGTGGCTCCATTCTGCTCCCCGTCCCTGTCATCCAGCTCAGGAGGCTAGGTACTCAGAGAACAACTGGTCTGACTCCTAAAGACTGAGGCAAAGGCGGCATTAAGTACCTCAGCCTTTTCCTTATCCTTTGTCACTATGTTTCCCCTTGCATCCAAAAAAGGATGGAGATTCTCCTTAGCCCTCCTTTTGCTGCTAATGTATTTATAGAGACATTTTTCATTGTCTTTTACGGCAGCAGCCAGATTAAGTTCTATCTGGGCTTTGGCTCTTCTAATTTTCTCCCTGCATAACCTCATGTCATCCTTGTAGTCCTCCTGAGTTGCCTGCTCCTTCTTCCAAAGATCATAAACTCTCTTTTTTTACCCTGAGTTCCAGCCAAAGCTCTCTGTTCAGCCAGGCCAGTCTTCTTCCCTGCCATTTCATCTGCTGGCACATGGGGACAGCCTGCTCCTGCACCTTTAAGATTTCTGTCTTGAAGACTGTTCAGCCTTCCTG